TCACATCATTTCTTAGTCCCTTATTGATATTCTTAAGGTCTGTCATGAGCCTGACCTTCATACACATATTGTAGGAATGACTGGAGATCTATGTGACTCTTAGTTTTCTTTAGGAAAGGAAAGCAATTTTTTTTTTAAATGAGAGCATTATTTTATCGTTCATTTATTAAGACCTTATTTGAGACTAACTTGAACTTTAAAGAGTAAGAAAAGATATTGTTAGTCATATGAATAAGGAAAAGGAAACTGGATTTCATGAATTATTAGCCCTTATCTTGGCAAAGCTTCATTAAAGGGTTTAGGGTTTATAGAATGAACCTAGTGCGTCTTAGGTCTTTAAAGCAATTTTTTTTTTTGAATTGAATGATTGCTTAAAAATCGATGATCCATTAAGAAAATAAGTTATTTATCCTTTAAAGATTTTTTTTTTCAAATTAACTGACCTTCAAAGTATCAATAACTAAGTTATACAAAATCATGCACACTATTAGCTTTTTGTTCAAAATATATATTTTTAAGAAATCTTAAAAGGCTAATAGTTTGCATAATAAAGGATAAGTAAGGAAAATGATATAGAAAGAATGTGTCCCCATATCCAAATAGAGGTGCTTATGAGGTTCTATCCTAAGGATCTAGGTTAAATTCTAGCATGTTTGTCTTACTTGGAAAAGCTTCAATCCCTAGAAAGGGCACTAGAACTCACAACCTAACTTCAACCGTTTACCGTGACAGTAAGTAATTACTAGCCATGGAACACTTTTAGAGGAGTCATACTTTATCTGGGATTTTTCACAGGGCTAGATAGGAAGTACATCCCAGCTTGCACTGCTAATAGACCCTCTAACTTAGGTAACAACTCAGGCTCGAGTATAAAGCCACTCTTATGCAAATAATGAATGAAAGTGTAGTGTGTGATAAGGACATGCAAACCTTTTATACCCTAAATCTAAAAAATCCAACTTGCAAAACAAATACATTTTCAAATATGGTCCTCTATCTTAGGTTAAACAATTATTTTGAAATTTAAAAGTTCACTATCCTATGGTTACAAACATTCACAATAAGCATCTATCCTAGGATTATCAAAATATTTACAAATAATTAAACTAAACAAAATCAACAAGCAAACAAACAAACAAACAAGCGAGTCATTTTATAATAAATTACACTATTTATCATAAAGAGGCTAACTCTCATATATTTTCCATTAAAGTCGCCATCTGTCGCTTGGTGAGCAAAAAATAGCGACTTTGAAAGAATAGGATTTTAATTTGAAAAAATATGGAGCTGTCACTAAAATTTTATTTATTTTTATAAGGGCAAAATATTGAAAAAAAATCCTTAAGAATCTCAAGTTCGAGAGTTGGTTATGAATAGAGAAAATATTAGCGTCCTTATTCATTCCTCCAAATGAACGGTACCTCAAGATTACATAGTGCGACTAATTTTAAATATTGACCCTAGATATTTATTTTTTGTTTTCCTATTTTTTATTTTTATGTTTGAAAATAGGCCTCAAGTATAAGTTATCGTCATAAGCAAAAATAAGATTTGAGATCTTAAAAGGTTCATTGACCTCAAATAATGTTTTATTTTTTAAAAGAAAACAATTTTTTAAAAAGAATTTTTTTTTGTTTCTTATTTGAAAGCTAACAAAAAGGATTAATAACTTAAAATATATTTTTATATTTTATTTTAGGACAAAATTTTAATCACCTAAAAATATTTATTTATATTATTATTATTATTATTATATTTTTTTAAAGAGAATTAACACCTAAAACTGACTTTCACAAAAATAGAAAAAGACTTTATTTTAAAAATAATATCTTATATTTCATCCCGAAAGATTTACCAACCTAAAAAACTAAAACTTATTTTATTTTTTTATTTTAAAAACATTTTTTATTTTTAACAGATTTAATAAAAACTAATCTTTGTTTTTATTTTAAAAAATAATAAATAAAACTTTTAATTGAAAAAATGTCTCTTTTTATTTTATTTTTATATTTTATCGCGAGGTGGGGTGACTCTTGAGGAAGGAGAAATGCAAAGAGAAAAAAAAAAGAAAAGGAAGAGGGAACCATACAAAAAAAAAGCACTAAAAACAGAGAGCTAAAAATAATAAAATAACAAAAGAGAAAACAAAGAAAGAGTCATGTAATAATTTCTATTTACAATGAAGGACAGACAAAATAGGAAAGTAATTAAAATTTGTACTTTTGATTTGTAATATCTTTGTCTCTTTGTCATATTTTTTGTGTGAAAAATTTTCTCTAAAAAAATTTTCCCAGAAAAATTATCTCTCTAAAATTCTTCCCCATGAAAGAAATCTTTCCTTATATGTAGGTTAGTCACTATTTATAATAGGATTAGTACCTAATAAAAAGAAATTAAGTATATTTTTTACACCTTGATTATTTTGATTTTTTCTATATATTCCTAAATTAACTAAAATTTAAAATAAAAACAATGATTATTATTTTCAAAATATCTTTGTGATTTTTATTGATTATATGTCTTTTTAATTATCTCTTTTTTTATTTTCTGAAATTCATTATTTAAAATCCGCGATGAGGACAAAAATGGATGTTTGCACTTATTAAAGCCTCTTATTAAGACTTGAATGATTATAAGGGGAACTAGTTAGTACGGTTATCAATGATGATATAGTAATACACATTTGTAGAAGAATGTATACCTATTTATTGTATATTCTATTGATAAGACGATTGCTCTCACAACTTAGATGGAAGCCTTAAGCAAATAAATAGTTTCTCTTGTATTTGTACAAGCACCACCCATAAAGAAAGCTTGTATTTTTGTGAGTTTATTAGCCACTCAGAAATTTTTGCTATGTAGGAACACACTTAATTAAGAAAATTGTTGATTCCAATTACTTGGATAAGACATATGACTTGAGTTAGAAGAATCATCATAACCTTTCTTAGGATGGTAAATAATTTAACTAGCCACAAGTCTTTAACATAATGTGTATAGAACCCCTCGTATGTAGAACCAAAGAAGGTATAAATCACAAAAATAAGATAAGAGAAAATGTTTATCTCATGATGCTTTAGAGGCTAGAGTAGCCAAGTTAGAAAGTGAGATGTTTAGGTTTGAAAACCAGGTCTCAAAATATAGATAAATAATTATCTCGAATAGTTAACATATTAGAGTAAGACAACTTGGTTCTTTATAAGCCAATTAAAATTTGTTACCAGTAAGTGTGAGAAGCAACATAAATGACTTTCAATGCCAAAAGTTAAGGAAGTAGTTATTAAGAATAATAGTGATACAATTCCTATTGAAGGAAAATAAGAAAAAAGAAAAGATGAGTTGTCAAAGAATATTCCTATTGAACCTTACAAGCCCAACAATTCTTTCTCTAAGAGATTAAAAAGCAATAAGGGAGTGCATTTTATAAAGTTCTTAGAGGTTTTGAAACAACTGAATATTAACGTTACTTTTGTTAAAGTCATTTCTCGGGTGTCAAAGTATCCTGTGTTCTTAAAGAAAATTTTGAGTAATAAGAAGAGATTAGGAAAATTTGAGACTATAGTTCTCAATACAAAGTGTTTAGTCATTGTCCTTAAAAAGCTTTTGCCAAGAAGAGGAGTAAAAAGAGAAAAAAATTGTATGGAAGAAGAATATAAACAATAATTTTTAATAGAGTTAACATCTCTTATGAAAAAAAAAAGTTATTTAAAACACTTTGGAAGTTAGAGAACCATGATAAAATAAAAAAAGATAGAGAATCAAATTGAAACAAAACTAAAAGTTAATGGACCAATCTACTAGTTTAGTTTATCTCATAAAATTATACTAACATAAAGGTAAAATTATACTTTTAGTCCTTTAAATTTTACAATTTTTTCGCTTTGATCTATTAATTTTTAAAATTTAATTTTATCTTCTAACTTTTTAAAATATTTTAAATAGGATTTTTTCCTAAAAAAATGTTAACTCTCATAATTTTTTTTTCTTTTTCTGCCATGTGCATTGTTTATCTTTTTTCTCATGTTTGTATTTCTCCTTTTTCTCCCATCTATTCCTCTTCTTTTTATTTTTGTCATGTGCATTATTTATCTTTTTTCTAATATTTGTGTTTCTCCTTTCTCCTCCACCTATTCCTCTTCTTCCTCCTCATCATATTCTTCTTCCTATTCTTTTTCTTCTTTCTCATCATCATTTTTGCCACTCACCTTACGTTTAGTACCTTATGAAGAATTTCATCAACAAAATCATGAGGAGTATCTCAAGAGCACAAATTTCAAACCTTGTAATCAAAATTTTATGGAATTGAAGTTAAAGACAACTAAAGTACTATAGAAATAAGAGTAGTTATGGGATCTAGATCAAGAAGCTAAAAACTCATTAAACAAAATAGTTTCTATTCATGGATAAGTGTATCTATTAAAAAATAATAAAAAGTTTTTAAATTAAAATTTTAAATTATGGTTCTATAGATATTATTTTTAATTATAATTTTTTTAAATTATTTTACCTATATTATAATTAGAGATATTCATAAATTTTGTTAACCTAATAAATATGAACAATCTAACTTATTTAAAAAAAATAGTGGATTAGTTCAAGTAAACATGTCAGTTTGAATAAAAATAAAATACGAATTAAATTAAATATTTATAATGTTAAAATTTAATATATTTAAAAACTCATTGCTTATAAGTCTTTTTTTTTATTAACTTTATATCATTTTAATTTTTCTTTAGTTTATTTGAAGTAAAAATTGAAAATTTATAAGTAATTTAATTTTTCAAAATTTAAATATTATTAACTTTAAATTATAATATGAATATTAAATTTTGTACTTTATAATTTATAAAAGGTTATCAAAATTTATTTATTTTTACTTTAATTCTTTATTTAGATAAATATTAAACCAATAATATTATATTATATTATATTTAGATTTGATATTTAAAACGTAGACATTGAGAAATTAAATATATAATAATGTAATTACCAACCTAACTATCTAACCTAGTCTTAGAATTTTGAAAACGAGGTAATTCTTTATAGCAAAGCTCACGGAATCCAACATACTACCATCGCCGTCTGCGCTAACCCAATTATGAGTTATTCGGGTCGAATTGATAGGACCCGGAATCGAACACCGAACCCTCGTAGTCTCGCATTCCGTAACTGAAAGCACCGCCCTACACTATTACAAACCATTTCGCACTTTCAATTCCCCTTCTCTCACACTCTCCCATCACCACCATGTCCACCGCCAAATCCCGCAACTTCCGCCGCCGCGCCGGCGACACCGAAGGCAACGACGACGACGCCAACTCCTCCGCCACCACCCTCCCGTCCAAGCCCTCTTCCTCCGCCAAGCCCAAGAAGCCCCAAGCCCCCAAACTCCTCAGCTTCGCCGACGACGAAGAAAACGAAGCCCCTCGCCCACGCGCCTCTAAACCCCAACGTTCCGCCACCGCCAAACCCTCCTCTTCTCATAAAATTACCACTCTTAAAGACCGAATCGCACATTCCTCTTCTCCTTCCTTCCCTTCCAACGTTCAACCCCAAGCCGGAACGTACACCAAAGAAGCACTCCGCGAGCTCCAGAAAAATACCCGAACCTTGGTCACTAGCAGCTCCTCTCGCCCCTCTGTTGCTTCCTCTGATCCCAAACCCTCCTCCGAACCTGTCATCATCTTAAAGGGCCTCGTCAAACCCTTAGCTTCCGAGCCTCAGGGTCGGGAATCCGATTCTGAAGGGGAGCACAAAGAAGTTGAAGCTAAATTGGCTACTGTAGGAATTCAGAATGGGAAAGAATCCCTTTTCCCCGATGAAGAGACCATTAGAGCTATCAGGGCCAAGCGGGAGCGCCTCCGGCAGGCACGCCCCGCTGCGCCGGATTACATATCGTTGGATGGCGGAAGCAATCACGGTGCCGCGGAGGGGCTCAGCGATGAGGAGCCCGAGTTTCGGGGTCGGATTGCGATGTTTGGGGATAAAGTGGAGGGTGGGAAGAAGGGTGTTTTTGAGGATGTGGAGGAGAGGAGAGTGGATGTGAGGTTCAAGGGTGGAGAGGATGAGGTGGATGATGATGATGAAGAGGAGAAGATGTGGGAAGAAGAGCAATTTAGGAAAGGATTGGGGAAGAGAATGGATGAAGGGTCTGCTAGGGTTGATGTTCCTGTTGTGCAAGGTGCTCAACAACACAAGTTTGTCGTTCCCTCTGCAGGGAATGTGTATGGTGCAGTTCCAAGTGCACCAGCAGGAGCAGCATCAGTGAGTCCCAGCATTGGAGGATCAATTGAATCCTTACCGGTTTTGAATGTCATGCCTATATCTCAACAGGCCGAGATCGCAAAAAAAGCTTTGCTAGAGAATGTGAGGAGGCTTAAGGTATGAGTTACATTTAGCATGTCCTCATTTGGTTGCTCATAAGACTGATTTGTTACTTGTGAAGTTAGTGATCTTGCTTATCTTGTGTTTATGATCCATGCACTGTTACGATTGTTAAAATAAAGGAAAGCTAGAGCTGTTAAGTGTAACGGATGTGTAACTTTGGAGTCTATGAATTGAATCTATTCTTTTTCTTTGAGGTATTTGTACCATCTAGGTATGTGTTTTCATTTTTTTGTTAGAGCTCATTACAGTGTAGTCATATTGAGATCATAGTTTACAATATTGAGGGACTAGTGCCTGTTGATCAGATGAATTCTGACAGACTTCCACCCATGTTATGGGGGAATGTAACATATGGGAGATGAAGAAATAAAGGATTGACAACAATAATATGGGCTTAGCATGTACTACTCCAAATATGTTTATGCCTAGTTGAGTCCAGTAGAGTATCTTCCAAACATTTATGGTGTATATGGATGGATAATTATATATTCTCAAATAAGCTAACTGATTGTTGCGTTGATCTAGTATGAAATGTATAAAAAATTATCTTCTAGTGGATTGAGATATTTTCTTAATTCCTCATGGATAATATTTTTTTTTTGGTTGATGACAGGAATCTCATGGAAGAACAATGTCATCGTTGACTAAAACTGATGAAAATTTGTCTTCCTCCCTTTTGAACATTACTGCTCTTGAAAACTCTTTAGTGGTAGCTGATGAGAAGTACAGGTTCATGCAAAAACTCCGAAACTATGTCACAAATATATGTGACTTTTTACAGGTATTCATATTTCTTGTATTCTTCCATCTACCAAGTTCATTATCTTCCTTCATAATTAAATATAAAATGGGATTGAGTTCCACTATATTATTTGAGTTTATTTCCTCGTTTCATTAGTTTTGTTCCTTTACTTCTTTCCTACATTCTTCTGTGTTTACTAATGTGATAACAAGGTACGTATACTGCTTTATGGTGGTAGAAATGCTTTATGGAGATATGCTACCTATAATTTTTTATGGTGTATTTGGTTAGAAACTGCCTTGATGTCAGTTATTCTTGGAAAATAACTGATGACAGTTATGTATTAAGCTATGAAGCCTGGATACTTGATACGACATAGATACGGGGATACAGAAAAAATTTAAATTTTAAGATATAATACGGCTTAGATACTTTAACATGAATTTTAAAAAATAATATTTATAAAGAGATATTGATAATTAATTTATATTAATGTGTTATATTTACATATCAGTGATCACATTTTACAAAAAAAAATACATGCAATCATATCTTTCCCTTGTCTATGAACACATAAGAAAAATTACATACTTTACCCCCTATTCAAGTTAGAATTTCACAAAGTTCTATCCAAAAGAAATATAGAACTATCACAAAAAGAATATCCTTTTATACTATTTAATTCTAACATTGTCACATTTATTTCCTCCATCCCCATCATCTACAAAAAGTATGACTTCTAAGTCTGGTTCATCAAGAGATAATTCAGCTAATTCAAGAAATACAGCACCATCATCAAGTGGATCATGTACATCTCCACTAATATCCCACATCCTTGTCTCTCCTTTAGTATACTTTTCTTCTCTCCTAGACAAAAGATGAAGGTTGGAATGCACATAAACCAAATCCTCAGCCTTTTTTGGATCCATTTTGTTTCTCTTCAAAGAATGAATGAACGTTCCTCTCATAGCAAGATGAGGAACAAGGCTGTACAAGAAGCTTTAAGGCAAGCTTTTGAAGTAAAAGGGTAGAAGATCCATGCATTACCCACCAAGATTTTGGGTCCAATGTCCTCCTATCTTCAATCGAATCAAAAGAAGCAAAGTCACCTGCACAAGATGAGAAATTTGAGAATTCAAGAAAAACATTTTTTCTTTCTTCAGCATTAAGAAAATATCTTTTCAAACATTTGTTCCTTTCTCTCGAAACTTCATCATCTTGATGTGGAGGAACTCTATTTGGAGCTTTCCTAAGCCATTCTTCACTATAATACCTATATAAGATAAAAAGATTTGTTATAGTATGACTTTTATTTTTCAATAGACACTAACTAAAATAAAATTTACCTTGGGTTCACTGAACGAGCCAAACAATGAAGTGGAGTACAACTTTTGCTCCACCTAAAATTTAGTATATTATGAACCACATCAAAAAAATTGGAAACTTCATTTGCTTCCTTTTCCTCATGCCTATATATGATTGTCTTCACTTTTTCAATCATGGAATCCCACAATTCATAGACCAAATGAAGAGTGGAAGCATCTGTGTCACATTTTCTAAGTATGCTATATATAGGATCTGTGAAAGAAAGAATATAGTTTAATTTATCCCACCATATATCATTTAAAACAAGTTCTTTCACATGAGCGACTTTACCAACACCATCTTCTCTATAACTATTCTATTGGTCACTAATGACCATATTTTGCAAAGCACGTTTCAGCAACTTCAGTCTTTTTAGCATGACAACCATTGATGCACAACAGAAAGCAATTTAAGAGATTAAAACTCATTAAAAATAGCCAACTTCATAGAGTGAGTCATTATGGAAGTCTTAATAAAAGATGCATTATCAACTAGGAGAGTGATCCAATGACACTCATTGAAAACATTTTCATTTCCATCAATATTTCTAGCTGCATATATGTTTTTCAATGCTAGATTCAAAGTATGAATGACATAAGGAGTCCAAAACACATGATGAAACTCAGCTTCAATTAACACCCTAGCTGCCTTACAAACAGGAGCATCATCGGTTATGATCTGAAAAATATTTTTTGGCCCTACTTCATTAATTACTTCCTTTATTATGCTGGCCATGTAGTGTTTATTCTTGTACTCCTTAGAACCATCAACAGCCTTTAAAAATATTGGCCCTCTTTTACTTACAGCCATGAAATTTATTAATGGCCTTCTTTGAACATCTGTCCATTCATTAGAAACTAATGTAACTCCTTTTATGAGTCATAAAGATTTTATAGGTTGGAGCAACCTTTCAATATGAGATCTCTTTTGTTGTAAAAGACTAGTTCTTAAAGCATTATAACTAAGAGGAAGGAAAGCACTAAGGTTATGGTTGGCAGCAAATGAATAAGAGCTAACATAGCAAGGATTTTTAGCAAGATGAAATGATAAGCCAGCTGAATAAAACATTCTTGCTATCTCTGCTCTTAAGTTAATTCCTTTCATCAACATTGAAAGCCCTTTCTAGTGTACTGCTTCTTGTTTTTCTTCTTTTCTGGGATAAGGTTGCTGAAGCTGAAAGTAGTGGGATAGTTTTAGGCTTAATTTTATTCTCAGTTTCTTCACAAATTCTTTTCAAATCAGCCAAATACTCAACAGTGACCTTAAGACAAAGAGCAACACCAGCACCGGCTATTCTAAGTCAATGTGCTTTCACTCTTCAATATGAACTTTGACTACTTTCTCACAAAAATTACAACTCCATAGCATGTTGCCTCCTCCATTTCCTAGCTTATCCTTTATAGTGACAAATGCCCAACGTGGAGCATGATCATCTTGAAGTTCTAATGAACCAAAGTTACTTAGAATTCTAAAATTAGACTCAGCATCAGAACTCATTTTTTGTCAACAAACACAGCTGTTAAAAAATACAAAAATAACATTTTTACTTTGTTGCTGTAAAGAGAATAGAAAAAAGGAGATTAGAAAAGAGAAAGTTTGTGAGATTTTACTGTAACTGCAACAGAGTAACGTTTAAGACTGTTGCTGTAAAATACGGAGAAGAGTAACAAAACCGTTGCTGAAGTCCAGAGAAGAGGAACAAAGTACAAACAGAAATCACGTCGCACTATCACGAATTGGAGAATCAACACCTCAGGAGCTTGCTCAACTAGAATTGATGCCTTAGGAATTTGCTGGACCAGAATCGACCTCTCAAAACACTTCAAATCACCTTGCTTCTGCAATAGTTCTCGTTTCCCCAAAGAATTGCAGCTCGAAGAAGCCATAGCTGGGTTTTGATTTTGGGTGAGGTTTTGGGGCATTTCTATCGCAAAGTATGAGAGAAATGGGGAAATGGGAGAAGAGACTTGCAACTTGAAGAAACCCTAGCTAGGTTTTGATTTTGGGTGAGGTTCTGGGGCACTGTTATCTCACAAAGAATGAGAGAAATCGGAAATAGAAGAGGAAAGAATGAAAGAAATGGAGAAATGGGAGAAGAAGGATTGAAACGCTCTGTTTCAATAATACATTAGCTGAGCGTATCGGAGCTGTATCAAATGATTTAAAGCCGTATCCCAGCTGTATCCAAGCTGTATCCCAGCTGAAATTAATTTTTAATATTAAATTAAATTACGGATACTTTTGGGATACGTATCTAGACATATCGGTATCGGATACGTGTCTGACACAGATACTTTCGGTGTTTTCACGTATCTGGGCTTTGTAGGTATTAAGGATATATTTGATAGTAAGGTGTGTGATTAAGGCAAGAATGAGTTATCTGAAGTTTTTGAACCAAGAATGTTCACTGTAGGAGACTTTTGTCTTTGGAACAGCAAGTGTATTGCTGCACATGTGATTTCTGTTTTTAGTACTATATTTTGTCAGTTTATTTCTGGTTCTCTATCAAAATGACAGTACGTAAATTATTGATACTTGTTTGCTGTCTGAATTTTGAATTCAGTCGTCAAATATGCTCTCTTTTTCTGCACCACAAATTTTCTGGTCCTCACTCTTCTTATAGCATAATGGTTGTCACTTTTCCTTTATTAGTTTGAGATTGGAGGAATGTGAAATAAGGATTTGAAGTGTTGGATATTTAGGATTTGATGGATTCCCTGGCTGGACCTATGGTTTGCAGAGATTTAAGATCTGAAATGATCAAGCTGCTTATAAGCCACATGGAAAACGCGACAGTGACACTTTTAATAATGTTGAAGAATGTGTATTTTCTTATTGACTAATATTTCAAACTAAAACTTTATTTTCTGCTTATCATTTGTGAATGTCTTTATGTTTGGTATGATTTGCTGAGGTTGTAACTAAAGTTATCCTGCAATTTTTACTTCAGCATAAAGCTTTTTACATTGAAGAACTTGAAGAACAGATGAAGAAACTTCATGAAGATCGTGCATCAGCCAATTTTGAAAGAAGAGCTGCTAACAATGATGATGAAATGGTTGAGGTAGAAGCAGCTGTCAAAGCTGCAATGTCAGTTTTAGGCAAGAAAGGTAACAATATGGAAGCTGCAAAGAGTGCAGCTCAGGAAGCATATGCTGCTTTAAGAAAACAGAGAGATCTGCCGGTGAAGTTAGATGAATTTGGTAGAGATTTAAATCTTGAGAAACGGATGAAAATGAAAGTGAGGGCAGAGGCTCGTCAGCGCAAGAGGTCACAAGCTTTTGATTCTAATAAACTGTCATCCATGGAATTGGATGATCCTAAAATAGAGGGTGAATCAAGCACTGATGAGAGTGACAGTGAGAGCCAAGCATATCAGTCACAACGTGATCTAGTGCTGCAGGCTGCTGATGAGATTTTCAGTGATGCATCTGAGGAATATGGTCAATTATCCTTAGTCAAAAGAAGAATTGAAGAATGGAAAAGAGAGTATTCATCAAGCTATAAAGATGCTTATATGTCATTAAGTCTTCCACTGATCTTCTCTCCATATGTAAGATTGGAACTCCTGAGGTGGGACCCACTTCACAAGGGTGTAGATTTTCAAGAGATGAAATGGTATTCAACTATTCCTCCCCCACTCTTGTACTATTCTTTCTTTTCAGAGGCATTCTTGTATCACAGGCTTGGTTTTCTTGGCCACTTAATTGCACCGGGTTGATTATTTATCAATGCATATTATATGGTTATCTTATACTTTTTCATCAGTTTATAATATATATTGACCTTCTCTTTCTCTCTCTTAATAATCAGGTATAAGTTGTTGTTCACTTATGGTTTTCCTGAAGACGGAAAAGATTTTGTTCCTGATGATGGAGATGTTGACCTTGAACTTGTCCCAAACTTGGTGGAAAAGGTTGCACTTCCTATTCTGCATTATGAAATTTCCCATTGCTGGGACATGCTTAGTCAACAGGAAACAGTGAATGCTATTACTGCTACAAAATTGATCGTGCAACATGTTTCTCATGAAAGTGAAGCTCTTGCGGATCTGCTAGTTTCAATTCGAACACGCCTGGCTGATGCTGTTGCTAATCTTACAGTATGCTATGAAAGTCAACTTTTACCTTTGCTAGTTGGAATTACATTTTCATGTATCATGTTTCATCTTAAAATCTCTGCACATATAGATATCTGTATTGTTCATTTTCTGTCAATCTACATGGTGATTCTGACTGCATTGGGTTTTGTTTCTTGAAATTATGAAACTTTTGATGATTAATTTCTCATTTTGTCTTCTTTGTAGGTTCCAACATGGAGTCCACTAGTACTGGCTGCTGTTCCTGATGCAGCACGAGTTGCAGCATATCGATTTGGCATGTCTGTTCGATTATTGAGAAATATTTGTTTGTGGAAGGACATATTTTCAATGTCAGTGTTAGAGAAGCTTGCTTTAGATGAGCTTTTATGTGGAAAAGTTCTTCCTCACTTTAGAAGCATATCAGAAAATGTTCATGATGCTATAACAAGAACAGAACGGATTATTGCTTCCCTATCTGGAGTGTGGGCTGGCCCAAGTGTCGTCGGAGACAGAAAGTATGTCGATGGTACTTTTTAAATGGCTGTGATATTGGTGATTATATTTGTATTTTTCGAAAAGACATTTTGCACATTCTTGAGACTCTTGAATCATTTTGCTGTCAGTGTAGATACTAGCAGTTAGGGCAGTTAGGTAATGTGCTGGCAGTTGGAGTTGCTGATTAAGTGTGTACCTAGTGTGGGGCTAATGGGGTGGGGATTTGAGTAGGGGTCCTAGAGGATGTGGGTTTAAGTCATGGTAACCACTTCCAAATCAAGTTGCTTCTTAGTGGTTATTATAAAGTCATTTAACTCTAGCTGATGCCATTTCTTATATCAAATTTTGTTATTATAATTTTTGGTCAGTAATCTAACGCTTCCCTTTCCTTAAATTGTAGTCGCAAGTTGCAGCCTCTGGTGACTTATGTGCTGTCACTTGGAAGGATTTTGGAGAGAAGATATGTGCCAGAGAATGACACAAGTCATCTAGCTCGTCGATTAAAGAAAATACTTGTTGACCTCAATGAATATGATCATGCTAGGAACATGTCTAGAAACTTCCATCTCAAGGAGGCATTGTGAAGGGAATTCATGTTTCATTATGCATGGGCTCTTGGTTTGTCAGGGAATCTGGCACTTAGTTAACCCTTCTCAGGTGCAATTATAGATAGCTTTTTGACCTTTGCACAAGTCTTCATCCGGAGTATGCTTTATGACTGCTTTTTGACCTTTAAATCCTGTGGAGGCATCTCTCTCCCAAAGTAGGGTGGATGTGGACTCGCTGGAACATTCAGAACTAATTGGGGACTTCTATTGTTCCGTCTATACGATGCATTGGGAAAGTCTGCTGGGAACCATATAATGGGCATTTGCCATCTTTTTGGGTGTTTCTTAAATCTGACCGGCTGCTTTTTTTCTTGAACATTGCTTATGCTAGGGTTCCTGGAGAACAAGCATTGTAAAATTTTTCCGTACTCCTGTGATTATAGATAGATTATAGCTGTACTGATATGAAATAACTTTCCATAAAGTCTCTGTTCTAATGTTATTTTTGGTAAATTTGAGTGGACTTTATGGAGGTATTTGTATTATCATTTTAAACACAAATTATGTGGGGATATGTAGTTTCATTTGCTAAATTCTCATCATCTTAGTGTTAACGGCGTTCCTAAAAAGTTAACAGCAAAATGCAAGTTTTGGATCAGATATAAAGAGATCCTACGTGGCCTCCGGTCCCTTGCTCGTGGAGAAATGCTAAGAGAATGGGAGATTAAATTCTTGTCCTACCGACCTCATCATTAGGCCTTAAGCCTGTAGTCTAGGTCACAAAGGCCCAACTTTTCACTAAGGCAGTTTTATATCACCATATAGTGTATGATTTGTTGAAAAGTCAGGTTACCACCTGAATCGCTCAGCTTGAGTTTGGTGCACGGTTTACGTGGGATTGCAATTATCTGTGCTTTGCAACTTTGAAGTCCAAGGTTTTACTAGTAACCTTTGTCAGCAACAATAATATGTGAATTTGGACGAAATTCGGAGCAAGAATTGGGATGAGGTTACCAGTTGTGTATCTAAATTTCATATTTTTACTCAAGCAATTTCATATTTTTAACCTTTCTGCAAACACGAAGGTTTTTCACTTACTTTTCAAAAAATGAAAAAGAGAAATAAGCCATTAAGAAAACGTATCAATATTCAAGAAGAGAAAATTTATACATTTTCGTGGCAGAGCGAGTCTCATATTCAAGGAAACTTCCCAGGTTATGGACATGAAAATGTTATTATATATCTCTACATACATTTACATGTTTGAGAGAGACTCCACTGGACCTATTTAAAAACAAACTTAGATTAGTACATATCATGCCTGTATTATTTATTCCTCCACAGCTGTGAACATCCTTTTAACTCCCATGTTTTACGATGCACACTGGAACACGGGTTAGAAATCTGGTGGCATTCTTCCTTAAGATGAAGTTAATAATCTGATAAGCTCGCAAATTCTGATTTCAGTAGGAGTATAGTGTAATGACTTGTGACGAAAATAACCTAGACACATACTAGGTGGTGCAAATGTCAGTAAGTAAAATAAACACTTCATAGATGCCAAATGTCCATGGTTTACTGCTTTGTTCCTTTGCAGTTCACGTATTGTCCAACAGCTATATGGTTTTACTTTTGAGAAGTCCTAAACCAAGCAAAAGCTTGTAGCGAACTTTGTGAGTAGCAACGACAAGTAAATATGGCATAGGCACTTGAGCAAGAATTTGGAAGAAGTTACCAAATGTGTCTCCAAATTGTTTATACAGGAACTTTTTGCTCTTTATGGAATTTCATAGTTGTAACCTTTTTGCACATATGGAGGTGTTTCTCTTTATTTCGCTAAAAGAAGTGTCATTTAAATTTAATATAATGTGCCTTCCATTCAGATGATCCCAATAAATAAATAAATAAATCACACTTGTTTTCTCTACTGGTTTTAAATTTAATAAACAATGACATTTCTTTTATGCAACTTGCTATATAGTACCAATGCTTGTGTACAAATTCAAGACAAAAATGGGGAGCAATTTTATGACTTGAACCAATAAGGAACAATGACAAAGAAGGAAGGAAAGAAAGAGAAAGATCTCCTACAAGAATTTATAAGTTTTATGATAAGAATCCAAAGTAAAAACAGTCAAATAAACCTTAGATTAAATGGTAGCAATTATGTTTAAAGCACTTAGAAAGTGAAAGAAAAAAATTAGGATTATTTTATTGTGTTCTAATAAAAAAAAATGAAGATTAGGACTAGTTTTAATTTATATTAGTACATTTGTTATTTTTATTTGAATTTTATGCTTTTATTTAATAATTGAACAATTTATATTTTAGGTTAGTAGGTTAGACCATGTTAGTTATTAAGCTTTTTTAGGATTTTTACATTTTATTATGTTCAATGGCTTAAGTATATTAGTTATTAAGTCTTTTAGGGTTTTACTAACATTATGTTAGTGAGTTTGACCATATTGGTTACTAGGTTTTTTATTTTATTCTATTTTTTATTATAAATATTCATATAAAACTCATTTAGGAGGAATTTTGATTTTGAAGCATACATACCTTTTAAGGTTTTTAGAAAGAATCACTATCTAGATAGATTTTATTAAGAGTTTTTCACTCATTTGTGACAATTCTACAATAAGTTTATTATTCTCCTCTTCTCTTTTTCATTTTTTTTTATTTTCTTGTTTATTTGTATTTAAAATCTTATTTTCGTTCAATTTTATCTTTTGTTCATAAGTACATTTTATGAATCAATTTTTTGGTGAATCTTAAGAAAATGTGTTTTAAAACGTTTATTTTATTTTATTTTGAAATGCCAAAATATAAATTTTGTAAAGTGAGATACACATATGTTATAATGCAATTTTATTTTTTGACCTTTTTGAACTAGCTCAAAAAATATATTATTAATTTATATAATTTGATTAGGGCTAATTTCAGTTTATGTTAATTTAATTCTTATTTTCATTTGTGTTTGGCCAATAATTTTGTATTTTTATTTAAATAGTTGTAGCTCCTTATGTTTTATGATAGTGAGTTGGAGCACATTTGATTAATAAGTCTTTTAAGGTCTTACTTTCCATTATAAATACTCATGTCAAACTTCTTTAAAGTTTTTATTTTTATTTTTATTTTGAATCATAATTAAAGGTTATCTCTTTAAGAGAGTGTGCCTTTTAGGTTTATCATTCTCCATCACACTCTAGTGACAATTTTATATTGACCTTATCATTTTTCATAAAATTGAGAGTGACACTCTCTTCGTTTCTTGTCTTCATCTTTTCTATTTTTTGTGTTTGTTTGTATGTTGAATTCTATTTTTATTGACTTTTTATCTTTTATTCATTACTCACATTTTACGAATCAATTGTTTAATAATTTTAGAGTCTAATTTGTGTTTGAAGTCTTTTTTTTTTTTTTTTCCAATTTTCAAATGTCAAAATTTAAATTTTATAGAGTGATATGAAATACACGTGTTACAATGATAATGAATAAAACATAACAAAAATATTTGTATAAGAACTAAAAGTAAATTTTTTTTAAGTATGCAGACTAATTTATAAATAAGTGTCAACTACAGGAACTAAATGTATAGTTTAATCTTAATTTTAATAAAATATAAAATATGCATTATGTAAGTTACAAAAGGCCCAAAATTGTTGAAAAAAAAATAAATTTTAATGGGAGTATAGACGGTATACGCTAGATGGATGAATTGTGAATTTTAAGAGACTACAAACTCTTATCATCTAAGGTTATACAGACACACACATATATAGAACTACATAGAACTTCTTAATTTGGTGAATAAATATATTAATAAAAAATAATAATAACTATAATTAATATAATACTAAAAGTAATTTACATATGACAAAATCTTTTTATTATAGTTAGCAAAAGCTATATATGCCTAGAAGTTTTTTAATAGGTAAAAGATCTACTTGATAATTGACAGAGAATGCACAATAAGAATATTTAATAGGTAAAAGATCTACTTGATAATTGACAGAGAATGCACAATAAGAATAAATTAATGATGTTTTGAGTTAATACAGTAAGAATTGCTTAATTATATTATGCTAAAAAAGGTTATAAATTGATTCATTTAATAGAAGTTGATCTTCTAGGAATTTGAGTAGTAGTGTAGTTTCACTTTTTAACAATAATAAATATTTTCTTATAGAAGATATTTTTTCTTTTAAAAATTCAATAAAAATTGATATATCATATAAAGATAAATATTATATAGAAATCGAGATAGATATGTATACAAAATTATACTTAGAATACTAACACTGATATTTTATTCATTCCTTCAAAAGTAAGATAATAGTTAAAAATATAAAATAAAGTAAAAATCTTAGTAAAAAATGGAGATCACTACTTGAATATTAAGGGTGAATTAAACACTTAGTACTAGTGATTCATCAATGATTGATGAAAAAGAAATTAATTTATTTTTTTACTTCACTTAGGTCAACCTTATTCTGAAGAAAGTAAGAAAAATCGGGTTGAGGAGACCAAAATGTAATTTTTTTGTGTAATTTTTAAAGGTATATCTGAATAGTTAGTAATTTAATTCATTTATTAACTTTTTTATTAGTTGTAAAATGTTATTTTTCATATAATTTTAAATTAAAAATAAAATAATTTTTTTAAATTTTTTTTATAAAACTTAATTTAGTGATAATTAGAAAATGTATAGTAATGGGATATTAACATTTTTAAAATGTTTAAAAATATATTAAATTTAGTAACATAATACTTTTAGAAAAAATAAATGATGTGGTAATTAAATTTTATATTAGTTGTAAAAGGTTAGTTGACATATTATTTTAAATTAAAATAAAAAATATTGTTGTTCAAAAAAATTGTTTATAAATTTTATTTAAGTTGGTAAACATTTAAAAATGTGTAGTAATATTTTTTATATCATAATGAAATAAATATTAAATAAGTTATTAGGTATATTAAATTGAGTAAATTAATGAATTTAGTAAAAATATGTAATAGAAAATTAGTAAAATTATATTAATGTTGTTTTAGTTTGTAATTATAATATTGAAAAAATAATTTCTTAAAATTTGTATTATATTAATGTATTAATTGAAATTAAATTTATCTTAGCGCAATGATAAAATAATATTATATTAAAATTTATGTTATTACACTAGACTTAATAATAATTGATTATATTTAGAAACTCTATATTTTATATTATATTTAAATATGAATTTTTAGATTAGAATAATATTTAAGTGGTTATTGTAGTTTATAATTATAATATTATCATAAAAATATTATAAAACTTAATAAGCATATTATATTTACTAACATAATAATATTTACAAAAAAAAAATACAATATAAATTAAATTAGTATATTATATTTAGTATGCTAATTAGCAATTTAATATTAATGTTGTAATAGAAATTACTACGATAATATATATATATATATATATATATATATATATATATAGGAATATAAGTATATAACATGTTATATTATGTTTAAATATGAAATTATATACTACCAATTTAAGTAATTATAATAATTTTTAATTATAATATTATAATAAGATATTTTTTAACATATTTAATTTAATTGATTTGTGTTATTTAATCACTCAATTAAAAATTGATATTTTAATATTATGATAACAAGAATAACTTCATCTTTATCATATTTACATAATATTAGATAAGGTCTAAACAATCTAATTTTATTGAAATATGAGAATGTATACTTATTAAATATATCTAGAATGGTGCTAAAGATATGATAGTAAAACTAAGATCAGAATATCATAGACAATAATACGAGAATAGT